TTCATTTCGTCGAGAAATCGTATTGATAATAATTTTCCTTCGAGGATCGTCTTGTAATGCTTCCTTATCGCGGATGTATTATGATTAACACGATAATAGCTCGTACAACTCTTGTATACGTCAGCCGTTCAAAAGTCTAAGAGACGTTTAACCGAGATTTCAGTGTACGCAACCGACGGTTGCAAACACACCTGCAATTGTGTATCTTACGATTGCATTTTCCGTGATCTGTATAAACTGCCCTGTCGATACGACACTCTTCTTAAACTTTCGATAATCGTTCACGTTTATTGTAGATTTTTATGCCGTGGTAGGTAAAGAGGCGCTAGCCACCGAAAAGATCGGGCAGGGTAATGGGATTATCATAGGAGCGATAATTGGTGAACTATACTCGCTGATTACATGGGCTTTTCTGGATCTTTCAGAAAATATCATATTGGTCATGTACATCTTAATACTTCGAGGTTATAAGTCTGTTACGATTGTCTGATCTTATTAATAAAATAAAATAAAATGCAATATAAGTTTCGCAATCTGCACACTCATCGTATACTGCTTGATATTTCTGTGAAATACGCCTTTCAATTTATAACATAACATTTCATAGAACACTGAATCAGAGATTAATTGTTCGACTAACAGATCGTTTTGTTTATGTTTCTCCTTATACTCTTTCACGAGAAGAATGAAACAATCAAACATGAAAAAACAAACTAAGGAACAAATCATCGCGGGTATTAACGTCGTTCTTTACGCCTATAGCGCTAGATCTAAATGTATCTATAACATATAAACCGAGTTTAATACATAACCATTTAGACGGAACGAAGAGTCAAAACAAAGGAGTAAATCACTTTATTTGCGGCGTTAACAAATTACATAGTATCGTGACATGCGTTTCAAATGCTCAATTACTGTTTTTGTTTCGGATAATTCCACAAAGATGGCGGCTGATCGCGTATCGCGTCGCCATCTATCGAGCAATGCAAATAACATCTGAAACTGCAATCTGTCGAGAGAGTGAACGATAAACGGTAAAGACGAACACTCCCAGTTTTTCTCAATCTCAAGAAAAAGATCAGGAATGATTAAATAACTCGAATTATAATCAGGCATGCAAGTAAAGCGATTATTCTGAGGAAATCTTCATGAAAATGTCACGACTAAAATAGATTAGCCGCACACGGCATGCAATTACTCAGTTCGGATGCCTGTAGCGAAACGAAGCACGTGTAAAATTCTTTGTACTCTAAAACGGGCATATGAGTCGTCGAGGCGGCCATGTTACGCAACAAAGAGTAAAATATCGCAAACAACAAATAAAGCCGTTCACTTTATTTCATTCGTTGTTAATCGCTTTTGGAAAATCATCGAACGATATGAAGCCACGGTATTTAACGTCATACATAGACAGATATTTACATCGTATTTTTCCAGCGTTGTTCAATTAACATTACCGATCGATACGTCTGCGCATATTAGCCTATCTTTCATCACGAATCTTCGTACGTGCGATTTATTTACTGACCTAATCTCTGCGTGTTACTAATTGAGTGAGCTGTCCACGTACGAGAAGCATCCGTAAAGGAGGCCTTACGTGTCGACCTATCCGTCATAATAGCCCTCAACGCATTGTAATTCGTCTTTCGACCGAATCGATAGAGCTTAAAGGAAGCCTTGTACCTACGCCCCCCACTACCCTAACCTCTGCCATGAAACATTAAAGTCACATATCGAGATCTGGGCCAAACGATATATCGCGAATTTAGGAATACAAACCTCGAACATCTTTATATTCATCCTATCGATTATATTGAAATTATTACTGGTAAACAAACATTGACGATTTAATCGAGCGACATGCAAAGATTAACGACGTTAAACCATTAGTATTACCGTCTCGTCGAAGGTAAAACTTTATTTCCTTCTGTTTTTAAACTGGTCCATTAATATCCAATGAAAATATACAGTGCTCAAAATGAGAGGATCATCTGCTTTACGATCTTATCTGATCGTTAGTGAAATGTTGAATACATTAATGTTAATATTTGCGATATGTGCAGAGTGTATATATTGACGTTCGCTAGCTATTAAAATTTTTATTTATATTTTCTCTTGTGTACAAGATCGAATATTGCAAAAATTACTCATGCAAAAATATGTATATACGGTGTCCAATATATATCACAGTTTCGAAGTTTACTGAATATTTTTATGGACCTAAATCGATCATATAATTTAGACGTTCGAATTTTTTTTACTTGTTAAAAGTAATATACGTTTCCTAATTTTTCTAAAATTAATTACAAGTAAAAATACATAAAAATTCGAATATTTCGTTATGCACAGAGTGTGAGGTTTTTTATATTTAAAACGAATGAATTAAGTCTCTCTTTGTTCTTTTAACAATGAGAAAGGGCTTCGTTAGGAAGATCGTGTGCGCATGCCTGATACTTCGTGACCAAGGTAATCTATCCTTTCCAAAGAAAGAAGGTAAGACCCTCGAAGAAGTTTCCTGCGGCCAGTTCGGCGAACCTTTCTTTTTTTTTTTTTTTTACAACCGTGTGTAACATCGTGATCATGCTCGTTGGATCGTTCGTTAGCTTTATTGTTTACAGAAGCTGCCGCGCATGATTCGCGCAAGTTCCGCCTTTAGAGCGTAAATTATTTGATAAAAACGTCGATATTTCATTGTTTGTGAAAACGTTAGGAATGTCAATAAGGAAGACAAGATTATTTGCAACGCAGATAATAATACGATATACGTAAAAGATTTCACAATATGTTTTTTTTCTTATTTACAGTCTACGAATTAAATAGATTAATCTCGTTTCAATTGTAATGAGATACGAGACGAAGAAAAATTGCATTTGAAAAATTGCGAGTTCGAAAACTGGTTCGACCATATATATATCGATCCTCCTCTTTGATACTGAATTGTATCTGGAAAAAGGATCTATAATACAGAATCTAAACTCTTTGTATCCTCAATATTGAAGTCGATTCACGGAATTATTACTTTCTTCAAATAAATATTGTCGACATTTCACTCGGTGAAACTAGTCATTTCCAGAGACAATCTGTGAAATATTACAAAATGAAGCGCAATCATTAACAAAATTATGAAACGTAATTGAAATGATTTTTAATATTATTCCAGCAATAAATCACTCAAGCAACATCAACACTCGAGGAAAACTGAAATTGTATTCTCAACTTTAGAAGAAAAAGAACGAGGAGGAGGAAGAGAAGAAGAAGAAAAAGAAAATCACCTGGATGAGATCACGCACGAAGTGGAAGAACCAATCGATGATCGTATGCTCGCGTGATTGGCCGCTCGTGACGACCATAATTCCGCCGTCGATCATGCCCAACAACCACACCTTGCTACTTGTGAACAACACTTTAAATTGTCCCTCGATTATCAAGCAACACTCATTTCCATCATATCCGTGTTTCTTTTGCTCCTTGAAAAGAGCCACGCAAAAACCGATCGAGCAGCAATAATTTTGCAAAAAGAGATCCAACGAGACGTTCTTTATTTTTTCTTCTCTTTTCTGTGTTTCCACTAGAAACGTTCCACTAGAGAACATATCGTTATTCGTTAATTCCCCTAGCTAGCAAGCAGAAGAAATTTAGTCATCATCAACTTGCGCGCGTACTTTCAACTGACTATTTTTACACGTAGAGTCGCAACGTGTCCATTGTTAGGAGGAAACAGACGAACCAGTCCCGCTTGATGTCGCAATCCGAAACTCTATCTTCAATTTTGTCTCGTCCCGGCGATACTCTCGCGCCGTTCACTTTCGCAACAGAGCGCGCGACTCGCGAGCGCGGTAAACAAATTTGCAAGAGCGTGCCTCCTCATGGCAATTAGTCAATTACTGCAATTAGACGAAGCAGACTCTGCTCTCCTCTTACGCTCGCCGCGTGTAGAAGAGAGCTGCTTCGCGGGATCGCGTTATTCGATTCGTCAAAAGTCGTAGGAGAATCATGGAGGAGGTATTTCATTGAAAATTTCGTTAATCCTGCAGTTGAAATTAACGGAGGAACACCGGCGTATGAAGTATCACGAGTGAATAAAACGGTATATGTAATTTGTTTACAGAGAAAGAAACTGCTAATTGCGTCTATTAACGCATATGTAGATAAAAGAATTTCCGGGACCAAATAGGCGATAACAGGCTTAAAGTCAGCCGTACTCTACTAATTATCAGTGGAACGAAGGAAACAATATCCTTGCACGAATGAAAAATTTATGCTTCGTGATTATTTCTCACAATAACTCTTAATATATTACTATTATTATCCTTCGTTGATTCGTTAAATTAAAATTACTAGTCTTGCCTATATGAATGTCCTGGGCGAAGCTGGATTTTAACAGACAAAAACTACAATAATTCACTGTTATTTAAGGAACGTATTTTTCACATCTCGTTAATTTGTCATTATAGATCGCTTCTATCGAAAAATAAAATAGCTGTTTATTTAAATAAACTTAATACAAGATGAAACATCATGTATCCTTATAACAGGTTTACATATACATGTAAACCGTGCTCAAGCTTGTGTTAATTGTACGGTTTACTTGAATGCTCTAGTATAAATTTCTGCTTTGCTTTTCCGTCTCAAAGTATAAAATGAATCATAATAAGAGGAGTTCTTAACTCTCCTTAGTTAATCTGGGTCGTTGAAGATTTCCCAAGCAAAATTTCACTTTTGCATTTCTTCGAAACGATTTTCGATTTTTATTGAAATTAAGTTTCAAACATTTAACAAACACTTGTACAACGTAGTACAGACTCTGATAAGTACTCCAGAATTTTTCCATATTTTTCGAAAGTCTAAAATAGTAAAAAAACAAAAATTAGAACTTGGACGCAAACGACCCAGTTTAAAACTATACCTACAGAAGAGGTTAAAAAGCTAACTCGTGATTGAAATATCCTAAACACGCTCAACAACACGCACTCTCCTAAAAGAACCAATCTCTCACTCACCTTTCTTTTCCTTTCCTGCACGAAATCCACCCTCCTCACCCAAACCTCCTCCGTCGAGTCATAATCCAGGGTGCTAGAGCTGCTAGCCTGACTTTTCATCTCTATCAGGCTGCTATCGAAGAATCTCTTATCGAGGTGCGGACTAGGAAGAGGACTGGTCCTCGAGAAAGTCATACTGGTCGAATAGGTCGGCGGATCGGTTGCAGGGAAAGTCATTCCAGGACCTGTGGTGTGTCTCCTCCTTAACGGAGGCTTCGTGGTGGACGTTGGCGAGGTGACCGCCGACGTGGTGAACCTGGACGACGCGGTAGTGGTGACGGTAGTCGTCGTAGACGTGGTCGTCACCGGTGTGGTAGTCGTCGAACTTGTCGTCGTGGTCACCGTAGTAGCTATGGTAGTCTGAGTTTTAGTCTCCGGTATGCTCGGTACAGCATTGCTGGACTTTTCATCGATCTTCTCGGAACTGGACTTCTCCGATGCAGACGGACTAGATGCTTTAGAGGAGACGCTGTCGTTCTTCTCTTCAGGTTCCTCGAGTTTCGTCACATCCTTCTTGGTCGACGAGGTTTCCGTGTTTTTCGCTGGAACACAGGGGGAAAAAAGCGGGATTAGGCGAAGAGAACACGGCGATCCTGTTGTGCAATTACGACAAAGGGGCTATTATTCGGCCCAGCCGCACTTGTGACACTCGTCGCTCAAGGTTCGCGGTCATAAAGGCCTCTCTGTTACGCGGCTTTGCGCTCAGCTATGCGATTCGACGCACGGTCGCGTGCCAGACTGTACCGCGATGCATTGTAACACTGTCTGCTGTTATTCTGGGTGAGGCAATGAAATCTTTAGCTAAAAGGATGAATTTATTTCATTCTTCTTTCTCGAACATTGCTTCCAGCAGATTATTTCAACCTTTTAATACATCGTTTCACTACTGGATCTTTCGATATTGACACTCGACTTCAGTCGTTGATCTATGAAGTATCGTACGAAATAATTGACTGAACAATCGTCTATCTACATTTCTCTTTTTCCATCTGTGTTTTCATCTACGAGAATACCTATTCTTGCGACTATATATATATAACGCGTGGTAAAAACGACGATAGGCAACTGGGTGATTCACGGAGCGGTCGTTAAATTTGATCAGGGGCGGCGATTTGAATAACGAAACCGCACACGCGAAAGCTGTGCAAGCTCCGCGGACTATTACATCGTTATAAACGCGGAATCATGCTTCCGGGGACATCCTATAAATAAACATCGGCTGAATGAAGTAACTGTTCGCATGTCTATCTGTGCTCCATGAGGCGGATAAATCGCAAACGGTGTTGTGCTCTCTCTCTCTCTCATCTGTGTGATAAAAATTATGCATCGATTCAGCTGATACTCAGGCTCGCGACAGATAGAGCATACCAACCGTCGATTAAGGTTACACCCCGATTGGGAATGAGAGGATCGTAGGGTAAAATATTTCAATGGGTGAAATGTAAAAATTGCCAGAGAAATTCTGGAATGCTTGAACGTCGAGAAGTATCGTCGAAGGATTTTTTTCAAGGTTGACGGTGTGATCGGATAAAAATTGAAACAGATTGATTCCCGTTTTGGTAATAATCTATAAATACAACCTATCGTTACCTAAGTGGAGTGACTTTTCGCGCTGTTTGTAGAAACGTTGCCAAACGGAACTAAACGAAGCTAAACCACTGGCCGCACGCTAATCTTAGCTCTCATTGAACGAGTGCGAGCTCCTGTTAATAGCTCCTCGCGCGTTTTAATGCTCGAATCGTGTTTCGTAATATGCTGCTTTTCTCGCAATCCGCCATAGATGCTTGTGGCACACGACACAGGATCGGACACATCAAGTCGATCTGGTTCTAGACGCTTTAAACGAAAATCGTTAACTAACCGGGGGGGAAAAAAAAAAAAGAAAATTCATTATTGGGAATAATTGTCTTTGGAAAGAATTTCCTTTTTCTCGTCGTCGCTCGTGTACGAACGTAAATGAACTAACGAATAGAGAAGAAAAGTTTGTAATTCGTCGATTGTTCGAATAAAACAATCGTTAGTATAATTTTGTGCGAATTAATTTCAAGAGAGAATTTTAGTTTCTTCGTAAGAGATTACTGTTTTGTTAAATTGTACACCAACGACAACAATAAACAAGGTATATAAAAGAGTTATTTACAAGCTAATAATACTTTATCATCTTATATGTATATCTCGAATGAAAGAGAATATCTAATTGTATTGATACATTAATCGTTTTCCGTTGTACAATTACTATCTTATCGAGATTCGTCGTGCCATATTATAACTTCATTCTGTTCGGTTGTTTTCTTGAATTCCATGGAAAGTTTAATTTATTAGGTAATACAGTTCTAAAAATAGCCTTGTTCTTAAAGTTATTATTAACCAGACATTACCAAGACTAATTTTTCTCGTGTCATTCACATATAATAATTAAGAAAGAAAAAAATGAAGTAAGGTAATCTGTAATATTCTAACATAAACGGTGCATTTACATATTCGTCGAACATTTAACGAGACAGCTAGAGAACCGGATGCTATTGCTTATGTATACAGCTGTATCGAACATTTCTTTTTTTTTTTTTTCAGATATTGAAAGCACAGATTCAGCATTATCGGTACATTATGATAAAGTAAGGTGAGGTAATACAATTCAAATGAACGAGCTTCGTTCGTTAATGACTGATGTTTTGAAAACATTCTCGTGTCTAACTGGCTTTGGTTTCAAGCACATTTCTGAAGGATACAAAAATACAACTTAAAATTCGATTAAATAAATATGTTTTTCAAAAATTCAACATTCTCGAATCAACGAAATTTTAAAACATACAATAACATGAAAGTAGCTTTGAAAAGTAGTAGAATAATAAAAAGTTGCACTGGAACGTTTAAATGGAAAAAATTAATTATTTAACATTTAAAGTTAAACAGTATGTTGAAGAATTCCTACTATCTTTACCTAATCAAAATTTTTACTTCTCATGACTTATCATATACTCATTGTACCATATATATTATACAGGATGTCCCACTAATTTAGCCCTGAAGTAGCTTCGACAAGTAGCAGAATAATAAAAAGTTACATTGGAATAATTTTTTCACATTTAAAGTTAAGCAGCATATCGAAGAATAGACGATCTTTTAGCTAATAAAAATTTTTATTACACAGGGTATCGCACTAATTTAGCCCTGTTTCTTAGACAATAATTGTAAGCATGAAATTTCTATTAATACAGAATATATTTAAATTAATGGTTCTATATAATAATACACATATACATTCTTCTTACCTTCGTCATTTTCGTACTCATCCTCTTCCCTGCATTCCGATAATCTCCTGCCCCACGGATAAGGGCTATGCGTCTGATTCCTCGATGGTAACCTGTTCACGTGCGACAGGAAGTAATGGTGAAAGAAACTATCCACACCATCTGAATCCTCCCCAGAGGACTGCAGCATATCCTTAAGCGCAGCCAACGAAGTGATGGTATTATAATTGATAGCCGAAATCAAGTCATCCTCGATGTCACTGTCGTCGGTGGTATCGTCGTTTTTCGTCGTTTGATCCTCTTTCTTTGTATCGGATGTGACCGTTTTAGTCTGCTCAGTTTTCGACGCCTCGGTCTTATCGTCTGAACTGGTTTCAGACTCGTCATCAGAGGTGCTTGTGGATGTTGTGCTGCTCGACGATTCCTCGTCCTTTTTCCCGTCCGTTTTTTCCTCTTTGAGCTCGTCGTCGTCGGAACCTTTGCACTCGTCCTCGTCACGATCTTCATCCTCCTCGTCATCTTGGGACACAGCCTTTGATAATTTGTTATTCGAAGCTTCGTCATTTTGACTGATATTCTCGAGGTTCTTCAGATTCTTCAGCGTCTCCTGCTCCCCCAAATCTTTGCTTATTTTCACGTTACTATCCTCCTGGCCTGTCATCTTATTCTGTTGATGCTGATTATTCGCAGTCACATCGCACTCGTCCGACTCGTTCTGTTTGTCACCACCACCGGAACTCTCCATCGAGGTATCTGAAAAATAGACGATCTATCTTGAATATTCGAAGATTAACAGTTTGCTTTTTTTTTTAATTTTAATTACAATCTATAAGGTTAGAACATAGCACAGTTTCATTATCTGAAGTATTTCTCCTACTTTGAATATCTAAATACTGAGCCATTCGATGGAAGCAACTTTTGCAACTAATGAAATCTTTAATCTATACCAAAAAAACGTTGGCGGTCACCCATCTTAACATTAGTCCGCGAGGAATGCAGCTTGACTTGGAAAGAGCTACCGAAGAGTCACCCTACCCAGTCCCCATTTCTCCCAGGATAAAAAAAAAACTGCATTCTTATATTATTTAAAGTTAGAATAGTAAATTTACTACAGTCATTTGACATAAAATAGTCACTTCTAAGTCACACGGCGTTATGAAACGTCTATTTTCCTAAGAAAAAAAAAATTATTCCAAAAATAGTATCCAACCGGTGAAAAGATTTTCATCGCGTGGAAAATAAAGTCTCGACGCAGACTAAGATTCTCACAGTGTAAGAAACTTCTGTATTTGAAAATTCTGTTAAAGAATAGATGAACGCGTAAGTGCACGAGCAACGTCAAACACATCGCGGAGAAGAAAGATTGTCTCTCGGCGAACTCAAGGTTGTAGTTCGCAGCTTCTCAAAGGGCGGCCTCCCTTTCTTTTGCATGAAAGACTTTCTTCGGAACAGTTAACGATAGGTATATACACGGTGTCTACTTCACTATTCATGGCGCGATTATTTCGCCGCTTCTCCGGACATTCTCACCGCGCGACCAAGAGATCGTTCAACGAGACTTTTGTGATCTCTCGCAGTGCGGAAGGGAACTTGAAATTTCCACCACGCCGCGACGAGCAGATTTATAATCAAGGCGACGATGAACTAGGACACCGAAAAAAAAAAAAAAAGAGAAGAAAAAGGTAAAAATAACTTGCCAATCGATTAATTAGCTCTCTTTAATAATATCGACGCACTGAACTGCTTTCTCAGTTCTCTCCGTATGGAAAATAGTCGTTTATAATTATATGCATACTCATTACTCAGTTCGTAATGGCTAAGCAAAAAAAAAAAAAAATGAAAAGTTCTTTCCTTTTAACTTTTAAACTCTACACAAGGATAAAGAAGTTGTTGTGTATTTATGAAAGAAATTTCCAGGCTAAATCAATGAAAGCTACCACCTTGAGAGATTTCTTAAATTATATAAACGAGAGAGAAACTTTTTCGAATAATATCGCGTAATTACGTTAATTCAGAGAAGATGAATTATGCTAGAAAATTCGTTGTCTATGTAAAAAATATAAAATTATGTAATTTTGAATGTAACACGGAAACGAATTTGTGAATTATCATGTTTCATAGAATAAACTATTCTACTTCTTTTTCTTTTTTAGCAGGTCATTGATAGTAGCTTAAGAAAGCATGGAAAGTAATTAGATGAATATTGAAGATGAGTAACAAGAATGTTTTCCGCGTGAAGAAATGTTAGTGTTCATAAGACGGCGTAATGGAACAAGTGAAAGAGTATTAAAACATTTTAATTAAACGACCTTGCAAACCTTTTGAACCGTGCTTTCATGCAAGTTTTAATGAGAAACAGAAGAAAAAAGAACCTGGGGGAAATATCGCGACAATGGTATGTCTGAATAAAACGTTAACCACCGTCGTCCTATATAAGAAAACACGTCCTTCCTCTTATTGACCAACAACACTTGATGCTCTACGATCCTGGAAGATTCCTTGTGAAACTTGTATTCATCTCTCAAGTAAACCACGCGAGCAGATTCTTACGAATTATTAGTTCAAGGTTAATACAATTTTTCATTAAAAAACAAAATCTATTTTCGACTCAATTCACATTTTAATAAAAATTATTTTCTTAAAGTTTAAATTTTTTCCACGAGACAAAAATTACAGATGATTGCAAGTTTTCACTTTAATGCAGAAAACGACGAGTTGTATAATGCAGTAATGTGGTATAAAAGAAAAAAACTGAAGAAATATAAATATATGTTACAAAGAGGTTAAAACAATTGTCCATCAAACAATAGAATCTATTCGAATCTAATAATACCATACTTGGTTTAATTATTTTCCTTTCTACGATGTCGAAAATTAACACCAACTCAAGTAAACCATTCAAATCCAGCTTCATCTTGGTTTCCCGACTTCCGAATTTTTCATCTCGTACCGACGGATTCGAGGCGAGCCCCGTCCGCGGCCATTGCAAACCCTAGGACTAGAAGAGAGAGAGAGAGAAAAAAATTGACCGGTGACCTGGATAGTTTAATTGACTAAATGCAATCAGTCAGCGAGCAAAAATCCGGATTCGAATCCTGGTTCAGCAATCCGATCGACCAGTTCTTTTTTTTCCCCTCCACCTTTCCCTTCCTCCTCCCTTTTGATTAAATTCTGTGTTTATCTTCATTCGTGAAAAATTCCAAACATCCCGATTAGAACACCCAGATCGTAATATAAATTCAATCTCCTACATTCAGATACGACTGATCAATAACGTAAACTATATATGTATATATACAAAAGAAAAAAATATTAACAAGGGAGTGTAAATAAAAATTAGAAATCTTACATCTTTTCTTTCCTCTCGTTCTGTTTGTTTTACATTCTTTTTTTTTTTTGTTTGTGTTCCTTTTTTAAAAAGCAAGGAAAGCTTTGTTGCATTCACGAACACGTCACTGGCGCATTGCGGTAAGTACGCCCTCTATTTCGTAACCGTGGAAACGTTTGTCTGTATAGTGAGTTCCACTATAGATGCATATTATACAGCGGACTCGACCCTCAGCCGCTATAGCCCCCGGGAAGAGCAAGTAAATCACGGTAACGGCACAAAAAAACAATAAGACCACGCATGCTAACGACCAGTTCGTTTCGTTAGTCGAGTTTTCCGCCTACGACCCGTATCCGTCGATCCTGCGAAACGAAAAATCACGGAATGGCGCTAGGGGAAAATTAACACTAGAATCAACCGGAGTTGAATGTGGTAAATTATTTCCCTTACGTAAGATTAGATATAAAGAGCGTTCGAAATTAGAATTATCGATGGAAAATAAATCGGTATATATAATTATTTCTTTATTTCGACAAAAAAAAGACATTTTAATTCTAAAGTAAGAAATCTGAAGTGCGTTATTTTTTTACGAATTTGGTAATTGTGTAGTGTTAATTTGCACGTAACCAGAACGAAAGAGTTTCGCGTCGCTTCAAGGAAAAGCAACGTTACACAGATAAACAGGCATTGGTAGATACAAGTCGATAAGTCATTCAAGAAGATCGAACTTTATCGCGACTGAGGTTAAGTTAATGAACTTTGATAACGGCGTCGCGATCTCGGATTAGTTACAGCAAATTAATTCCAGCTTCGAGTGACACTTATTGATTAATCAGAAAACAGTTGGATTTATTGTTCGACTTTAATAGACCAGAAAACTAGGAACATTTGAATGTTGGTATTAATCTTTCAGCCTGCTGAAAATCCCACGTTGTTATGCAATATTTACTGTTCGTATACACCGATATTAATTCTATCTACCTGAAATATCTCTGCTATTTCTCATTTCTCTATTTAATATCTCTAAATATCTCTACTATGATAAGAGAAAGTGTTATTTACAGAGGTAGTAGGAATGTAATTCTTCGAACTGTGACGATGCGAAAAATATCTGACGATGCAAAAAACTGTTACATACAATAGCAGAAATGTTTAATACTTTCTAAAGAACAGTTGTATGTATTTCTTTTCTTCTTTTTAACAGAATATCCAACATTTTACTACGATCAGATTCGATAAAAAGGAAAGAGTAAAGAACGAAACGAAAGACAAGGGGAGAAATATGAATTAAACATCTAAATGGCCGCTCTTAAAGTGTTGTTGATCAATTTAAAGCGAGTATCGTGTACAATGAATAAATACAATCTCGACGAAGGGTCAGTTATTTACTAGACTTTTATAGCTAATGCAGCAACAGGTACGATCTACTCAATAACAAAATTACTTGTTCCGAGGAGATGTAAACCAGGTTCACTTCCAACGGGCATATACAATCTAATTCGATATAAAAGAAATATTCCTCCGTAGAATACACTGTTCGGTTTTTATAATCGTTGAATTCTCCGAAAAAAATAATTCCAGCATACAATCTTTACGACATATTGATGTAATATTCAATACTAAAAAAAAAAATAAATGTGAAATTTGCCACTTTTTTGTACAATATAGATCCAAGTAATGCGAATTGATTTTTTTAAGAATTGTCGAAAATTCAATTCTTTAGTTACTCGACACTAAAAAAAAAAAAAAAAGAAGAAAAATTTGCCACTTTTTTGTACAATACAGATCCAAGTAATGCGAATTATTTTTTTTTTAAATTGACGAAAATTCAATTTCCTACTTAACAGTGCTGAAAAAGCAACTGTTCAAGAATACACGTGTTAGGCCACATTTAGAATCACCAAATTTATCAGAAAATCCCAGCATCCCACCTTTCACATAACAACGCGAATACTTTAAATTGACGAACACCTTGATAACAATGCGATCTGAACAGACCGTACTCTAATTCTCTCGAACTAGTATACGTCGGAATAATTTTATCTTCAAAATGTAATGGCCAGAAGAGTAGATAATGTTGGTAAAGTAAACGTAACACCGATAAGATAAATAACTTTCCACGCTACTATATCAATATAAATGCAACAAGGCCGTAATTCTATCAAAAGTAACTGCATTTTAAATCACGATAATTTGTACCGATCAATCGAAGCGAACAGCAAACAAAAATGAAAGAATTAAAAAGCACAATTATTGAACGCACAATTACAAATTGAATCTATTAGTTCTATGTAAAAGTTCTCATCGTATTATCGTGGAGAATGTGCGTTTATCTTTTATTATAATTAGTCGTCATAAGAATACAAATAATATAACATTAACACTATATTCAGTATATTAAATTAAATGCAGTACTGTAATAAAT